CAGCAGCAGCAGCAGCACCAGCACCAGCAACAGCAGCAGCAGCAGCAACAACAACAACAACACAAACTCCTCAAAGCTGCGTCTGGAGTCTTGGTCCACACCAATGTCACTTCCAAAGGTTCGTTTCGCACACCGCGGCGGACTGGACCGGCTTCACAGACGTTCCGACCTCCGTGCCCACTCCGATGGGGGATGGGTCGTCCAACCTGGGAGCCCGACCGACCTTCCAGTCTCCTGGTGCCACCGGTGGGTCTCCAGATCTGCACCTTGAGGAGGGCCCTTCCCGCGGACAGGTGCTGTATCTGGTTGGGAGTTGGTGCCGGAAGATCTGGCGGCTTTCTCTTTAGGAGTTGGCACCGGAAAGGGCTTCTCCAATATCCTACTGCTGAGAATTGTGCTGAGTGGCTCCCCAGCTTCCGCGCGTGGCCTCCATCGCCGAATCATTGGCTACTCCGTCCAGGTCGCCCACCCATGCATAGAATTCTCCCACTGCCCTACCCCCCCCCTCGTTCGGCTTCCTGGTCGGAGGCTTTTGGGTAGTAGGCTTCATGCAAAATCTCATAAGGTCTAGAGTCTAGTAGGTTTGGGACCCCTTCATTTCAACATGATACAACAAGTGATAAAGAGAAAGCGCCTGGAGGTCTCGGCGCCGCGGGGGGTGAGCACCAGGGCCTCCAAGCGCTCGGCCATGTCCTCGGGCGAAGGTGTGGAACAGCACCGCAGCACCGCAGCTGCAGGGGACCAAGTAGCTACGTCGACCGACCGAGCCCCCCTGAAACTGGAAGGGGAGGATGGACAACAGTGAACCTCGTTTTCGGAGCGATTGAGCACCCTTTCAGGGGGCCTTGGTATGTAATAGATAGACCATGTTGAGACACCCCCAACAACCAAGCAACCAAGTGGTTTCCAGGACTGAACCGCCAGGATGGACGCAAATCGGGTGTGATCAACTTCAAGAGGATTCACCTGAAAATGAAGCCCTCTTACCCTTCAAGAAAGCCCAACCCCCAACCCCTCCTTCTCCTTCTCCTTCTCCTTCTCCTTCTCCTCCTCACCTGGCAGCCATCAAAATGCACAGCTGAGCATCTGCCATGTTCTCCAGTCCATCTGGCGCCAAGAAGAGGCTGACATTGTGGTCGTAAGCCAAGCGCTGCATCGCCGACGGAAACAGCTCCTGACTTTGCGACCCCGACGACCTTTGGAGAGGTGATCTAGAAAAATATGGTGGTGTGCCGACGCTTCAAGGATTCAAAGTATTTCGGTGTTTCCAGTGGTTTTTCAATGGCTTGGTGATGCTACTGGTACTGGCTAGGCTCTTTGTGTTCCCGCTCTAAAGCCTCCCATCATTGGCATCCCATGATGGCACACGCAAGCGACGCACAGGCAACGCAGCGCGCCCACCACGAGATCCCACGCCCTTTCCATCCACCACGAGATCTTCCGAGTGTCCACCTTCCCTTGAGTGTCCAGCACCAGCAGCTCAACTGCTCGGCGTGTCTCCCCCATGCACAGCCCACCACGAACACGGTTCACCCACCTCGGGCGTCGCGGGCGCCCGCGTTGGTGGCGCTGCTGGTGGGACCGTCCCACCGACGGGTCAACATGGACGACGTTTCGATTGGATTCGTCCACGGGATCCCTCAGTCTCCTCCGAGCCTCCCGTTGTTTCGGAACGAAGAAAAGGAGGCCCAAACGACAAAAAACGAGTCACCTCTTCGCCACGCCTGCAACGTCCCCAAGTCCTTCCAAGTCCCCACCATCCATCCGGGATCCCCAAGAAGATCAAGCATGCGATTCAGTCGCGCGTTGAATCCCCCGACAGCCAAGCTCCAAGCTCCCGGCCTCAGCAGTTGCTCCAAGGTGGAGACGATGACCTGTGCCATCGCATCGTCGGGACCACCGGAGGTCAAGGACAAAGCCATCCCAATCTTCACCTCAGCTGGTGAAGAAGACAGGGAGAGGGAGGAGGAGGAGGAGGAAGAAGAAGAAGAAGAAGAATTCGGGATGGTCGTTCACATCTCCAAACTTATGGCACTTCTGAAGCGTCCCACCAGTCATCTGTGCGTGACTGGCCCTGTCTCAGGGCCAAACAGGGCCCTGTCTTGCCAAACAGGAAGGGTCGTTTGACCTGGTCGCTTGCTCTTGTTGAAACGAAGACGGAGAAACGCACCGGAGAAAAAGGCCGAGCACCGGCAGTTACGGTGGGACCGGTCTCCAAAAGTTCACCGTTTTGCGGTTGAGGTGCTTTTTTGGGGTCGAAAGCATTCAGAAACACTTCGTCACAGTGACGAGTGTCACACCCAAAAAACATCTCGCAGCATCTCGCTGTTGCATCTTGCTGTCGCACTTTAGAATCTTGAACTTTCCAAACCAATTCCACCTCCCCAAAAACTCCCCTGTTTCTCCGCCAGTCACTCACGTCCCGCAGCACCCAACCGAGCCACGGGAGGACCCAGCGGCCAGTCGCCACAGGCGTCGGTGGTGTTCCCGACGTAGGAGGCCTTCGCAGCACCTCCCAGGCGGAGTTCAAACCAGTCTTGCTTCCTGAGCGCTGAAGCAAGGAAACGCGTGAAGCAGGCCGTGAAGCGGAACCTCAGCAAGGTGATTTAATTTGAGGGGAAGAAACATCAGACCATCTCCGGCTGTGTTGATTCAATGAAAAGAACAATGAGCTTTGGAAGCAGAACAGCTATATTAGATAGCTGGAGCGTCCCAGGTGTTTTGGTCGCCCGGAACCTCGAAACCGGAGCCATTCGGGCAAGGGTACCACCGAAGTTGTGCCTCAGTGTCAGATCATTGCAAGGATGGAGGAACATGCTGTTTAGGGATCATAGGCTTCAAACTCTCACTGTGTGAGTCCAGTGAAGACCAACCCAGCAACCCAATTGACTCAAGCGTCACCATTCTGAAACGCTTGAGTCAGCTAGTCAGATCCAATGCCACCGGAACGACGATCCGCCACTGGAACCCCGCGGGTTACCCGCTCGCCGTTGAGCCGCTCGGGCAGGGCTGGCTCGGAGGAGCACGTCGGCGCGTCCACGCCCCCCCGCGCAGCGCGGCGTTTGGCCCGCGGGGCAGCCGGCAAACTGCCCGCAGCGGTGGCATCCTGCAGATCTGGCGTGGAAAAAGCGCCGGGGTAAGCAAGGACGAGGTGCAGTAGGTAGACATTTGTAGCGTTTGGGCAGAGCAGTGGAGTGGTAGAGTTCTGAGTTCCAACGGCCTAGGCCTCAGAAATTTATCTCCCAGCTCTTGCATCATGAGAGGGTTCTTACTGTGTTGGGGGCAGCAAACGGTTTTGGTTCACAGATGTCGAAGCGTCCGCGCTTCGCGTCTCCCCCTTTCATTTGGCACAAACTTCCTCTGCAAGATTGGACACTACTCACTACGTGCTCAACGACGACAACAACAACAACAACCACAACCACAACCACAACGACAACGACAACAACAACAACAACAACACTCCGTTGACGGTGTTGAATCAGATCATAAAAAAGGAATCAATCTGTTTACAGCATAATAAGCAGCGACGATATGTGCAATTGTCAATTGTGCATTACACAAATATCATCAAATATATGTTTTTTGCGGCACCAAGTGCGTGCTGTTCGCATCAAGCTATAACCTGGACTTTCCAACAGGTGGTTTTTTCGACCCTTCCCAACTGTCTTCACCAGGACAAGTCCATAATCCATTGGATCTCCGCAAAAACAGCTGACCAGCTCAGCTGACCCTGCTGACAGACCTACTGGACATTGCAGCAAAAGCAGAAAATGCCATACAAGTCCCCTCGCCCTGAACTTCCAATGACTCGTTTGACCCCACCTTTCAGTCCTGGACTCTCGGGGAAAAATGAGCCAAACTTGGACTCTCAGGGAAAAATGAGCTCATCAATGGGTCCCCTTGCCACCTTCCCATCCATCTCACCGTCCCTCCTGGCCGAGGCTTAGGACAGTCCAGGGTCCCCGCGTGGTGGTACTCCAGCAGGCCCACCGACACGGACTTGCTGCTGCGCTCCAACGACACCCGAAGCTGCACCGCTTGGAGGACCTCCTGACCGGACCAAGACTTTCCGATGTCGGGCCCAACGGGACCGAGGGTCGAACTGGGTTAGGTGGAGGTGTAGCACATGGCACCAGACTGTTCCCCAACTTGGCCATTGAGATGTAGATGTTTAACTTATGAACTATACTGTGCAACTTAGGCAGCAGACTTTTGGAAGGAGATGGAGGACTTCTTCTTGGATCCACCACAAAACCGGTTCTGGAGAATGGTGTTCGACACTCCTTAAAGGTTGCCAAGATAGAGCTTTGATGGAGGCGCAAGACTACCTACCTGGAAGCAGCCTGCTAACAGGTCAATCTACGGGTGTGCCTAGAATTGGGACACCGCACAGGTCGCCTCTACTGAAAAAGATAAAAAACTGGAAAATGCGTGTTCAACATGCCATTTGGCGCCATCACCCCATACAGCTAGCCCCACGCGTCCCACCTCAATCCGCAACATCTCCTGGACGCCCACCTGTGCGCGTCGGGTGAAACTGCCCGCACCCCAGTCGACCCGGCGCGGGACCCGGAGAGTCTCGCTCACCGGGACCTCGTTTGGGGCTCCAGGACCGTCGGATCGAAAGGACCGTCACGAACGAAACGAACGAAAGAGGTGTTCGTCAAGGGGAACGAAACAAGAAACAGAGGTTGTTCATCAGCTCTCGAGCTCCAGCTACCACCCGGTGAGTTTAGACTCGGTCAACGGGGCCCCGGCAAAATAACAGGATGGATGGCTGCATTGGAACAGTTGCAACACCATTCTTCATATTCTTCGAGAACCTCGGGATCTTTTGGATCTTGTGGTGAACAAACATCTTCCGCTCACGCCTTTTCTCGAAAACAGGACATCCCCCGTGCTCGCCCACAGAAGCTCGCTGTTCTCGCTCGCTCTGGACCCTCGCTTTCGGGAAGGTTGGGTGCCTCTCGTCTTTCGGAGAGGTCCCGCTGAACGCGGCGGATCCGCTGGTGACACCCTATACGAGCGCGAAAGACCATTCCATTTCATCCCGGTATGCTCCTTCTGTTCGACCTGGTTATGCTGGTTCTGTAGGTCTTAGTAAAACGATGGTTGTTCGGCAAAGACTATGAAATCAATGGTGCTTTGGACTCCTGGGGGGGATGTGAACAGATTCGCAAAGCACCCCAAAAAGCCGATCGAGAGGTGGAAAACCCTCAACCCTCCGGGTGACCGCTGAAGTTTGGTGTCAGATGTTGGGGAATCCCAAGCGAGTCTGGTCAACCCCCAAGCGATCTCGATTCTTCCTTCGCGGCCTCATAGCGGCCGCCCCTTCCCCTCCTCACACGCGCTTGTTCCAACAAGCACAACCTGTCCCCGTCCCCGAACCTGAAGGAAGTCTCTGGAGAGGAAGGACACGGACATCCCCTGGACGTCGTGTCAGTAGTCGGACTCATTGCACGAGCTGCGGACGGGGCAGCTCGGAAGGCCCACCAGGCAGTGCCCCGTCTCGTTCAGCAGCCACAAATGCCTCGGGTTTCTCCGGCTAAGAAGCAACGCGTCGAGACTGAGAAGGAAACCAAACAACAAAAGGCCGAGTCCGTGGCGGCTTAATGAATATTAATGATTCTTTGATTCTTCCAAACAAAGTCCAGGCATGGAGACATGTGATGTGGAGCCCTGACCGCCTGACCTCCCCTGAAAGCTCGTGGTGGAACCCAACAGCCCATTCTCTTGATGGTTTTATTTGTCTTTTCACCATTGATCACAGGCTCTTGCAAATCAACTTGAAACACGGCCGCTTTTCAGTCCTCTCTTCTTCCCAGTCGCATGCGATTGCTCGAGGCCGAGGTCAGCCAAAGCTCGAAGTTCCGATATCCCACGGGCACTTGCCCCACCTCTGCAGACCACGCGCCCGACACGTCCAGGCGCACGCTGCCGTTCCTGACAGCCGCGGGAGCCCGACCCGCCCCGGGAGGTGGAGGGAAGTGAAGCACTCGGGGAGCGCCATCCAGGCGCCCTCCGGGCGCAACCGGCTCCAGCGCTCGCTTGGGGGATGACGACGCAAAAGCCAAGTCTCCCTGGCGTGCAACTCAACACTAGGCGCTCAGCTTGGTACTCAGAGGGCGGGCAGAGAGAGGCACAGCGGGCAGCCAAACAAGCCTCAGTGTGAGAAGTGGGAATTCATGTTTATACACGTGCAGATAGAGAAATCCTCAAGTAGATTTGTGATCGGAGATTCAGCAAATAGATTGCCCCTTTGGGTGCTTCCAGGTTCTTCTTCTGTATGAGGAGAGTAACTCCCCAAAGCCTCTGCTTCTTCACCTCAAAGCAAATTCAGCATCCTGGACCCTGAAGAGTTTACTAATTTTTGAACTGTTGGGTTTGTGAACGCAAAAAAAACGCAAAAAGACGCAAAAAGCCGCAAATCCTGAAAAGCGGGCTGAATGTTCCAGTTGGTCCAATCGTGAAGAAATCACTGAGTGGAGGACAAGATCATATATCAAGAGCAGATTCTTCACCGCTCCATGCTTGGCTTTAAGATACGCATGATCTCCCTTGTAGAATCACCTCTTAAGAAACACGATCGACGATAGATGTGCAAATCCATGCTTATCAATTCTTTTTACACCTGTCCATCCTGTCACAGATTTTGACACCAAACTTGGCGTTTCTTTGGCATAATTATATAGATCCATCATGATCTGTCAATGAGCTGCCAAATGAAATCCCACATGCCATATGCATGTGTTTTGGTGTGGATTCAATACTATTGCTTTCAATATATTTCATACATGGTCACACTTTTCCCTGCACAACCACAAAAGAAGCGTGCGCAAATATCCGCAAAGAATACGCAAATATCGCAAAAAGTACGCAAAACCCCGCAAAAGTGCACAAAGTGGGATTTCTGTGCAGTTTCAAATTTAGCAATTTAGTGGCCTACCATCATGAGAAGATTTGACCTGGAGCTCGTGGGATGGAGCAAACTAGTGTGAATGCTTGCCACATACGGCAATCTTGAAGTTTCACCATATCCTGTAGGCGGTTGACAAGTACCCAGGGTGGCAATTGGCTAGAAGTGTACTACACACTCAAAGAGCCGAAGTCATGATATTGTATCGTACAACTCTTCATCAACTCCTCGTATGGCTCAAAGATGCGTACATAGGTGATCATGCACCAAGCATAGATGTGCTTGCTGGTGGGAGTCATTTAAGAAAGCGTCCAGTTTTGCTTTGGAGTGTACAGTTTTGGCTTGAATCGTTTAGATTGGCATTGAAGTGTTCCAAACGGCCCAAAAGGATAGAAATGCCAAACGTACAGAAATTATTGCACTTTCAAGGGTTCAGGATGGGTTGGTTTCCGGGTCGGTGTCCACTAGGACCATTGGGTGCCTTCTACTTATATTGTATATATAATATATATTATATAGCCAGACAGTTAGACAAACCCAGATGAAGCCTCCTTGCTGGGCAACAATGAAGAGAAAAACATCGGCATGTCAGCATGTCCATTTGGCTAGTGTCCTTTTTGGACGAACACCCAGCTTTGTCTGGGCTTCCCAGCCAAAACAGTTCCCCATCGGAAGACCATCGGCGCACGGCGCACGGCGCAGAGCGCACAGCACGCCACAGGAAGGGGAGGCCGCACCACGCATCACAAAGGGATAGGTGCTAAATGTGTTTGTTCATCATGACTTTTGCAAAGAAAAATTGAAATGAATGCTACCGCTTGAAGTTTTTGAACATGCTGCAGGAGTTCTTCATCTCGGCAGAACAGCTGAAGCTTTTGGTTTGAAAATCCTAAACGATCAGACTCGAGGCATCGTGAGACCCTCTTAGCCCCAAATTTATGCCAACGACCCGTCGCCTGACCGACTTCACCCCCCGTCTTGGGAGGCGCTTGCGTCTCAGGGCTTGGGAGGCTGCGACTGAGAAAAACACCGTGGAGAACGAACGAAGCCGTGGTGGATTTCGACCACCACCATTGATTTAAGGGTCCGGAGTCCTTGCATCTCGTGACCCAACATCCATTGTTTGACGATAGACTTTTTTCAATGATAACAAGATCCGGGAAAAACCATGTTTAGATTTTCTTGCAAGGCTAGGGCATGACGGCTGAAGTTGACGTACAACGAACCAATGGGTGTGAAGAAGGCGAGAACATCTCAAAACATGTTTGTCATAGTGCACAGACCAAGAAAACAATCAGACTAACATCTCCAGACAAAAGGTCTAATGATTGAATCCTGACCTGCAATGACCGCAAGCCAAACATCCCACTAGTACTTCAAATCTGCCGCCCAACCCTTCCACTCTTTCCACATCTTTCCACCCTTTCCGCCCATCCTTTGTGCCCACAAGAAGCCCATCCTCACCAGTTCTTCCGCACCAGAGGACGCCAAAAGTTCTGCTCTTCTCTTCCGCCCACTCAAAAATGGCGCCCATTTGCCACAAAAATGGCGCCGACCCTGTCATCCTCACTCACCTTCCCCACCTTCCGTCTCCCGGAGGCCCGTCTCGCGCCCTAGATCCCTCTCCTCGCTTCTCCGGGGAGGCCCTGCGAGTCCACCGAGTCCAGCGCCACCAGCGAGAGCTCTGAAACCTCCCAAGAAGCGGCCGGCGGGGGAGAGAGGGAGGTGCAGGTGCGGAGAGGGAGAGGGAGAGCGGGAGAGCGAGAGAGAGAGAGACAGACAGACAGACAGACAGACAGACAGACGGACGGACGGACGGACGGACGGACCGACGGACGGACGGACGGACGGACGGACGGACAGACAGACAGACAGAAAGAAAGAAAGAAAGCGGGGTGGGCTTCATGTGGTGTTCCTTGTTCCTCCCAAGGAAATTCCCCAAATCTGAAAAAAAAAACAATATGGAATCATAGGGCCTGGTCAGTTCTTGGTGCGACACGTGTCGGTTTCTTCCCGGAGAGGCTGGACCAAAAAGAGCGATCGCGGAACGAAGCCAAAGACCGGCAGCTCCCGTGACTGTGGGGTGGTGATTGCCACTCTGAATTGGCAATCCCTTCTCGCATGAGCTGCCGGATTCATGTTCCATGCTCGGAATTCGATGCGAAGCCGAAGGAACCGAGGTGTTGGGTGGTTTGGCTTCGGACCCAATCAAGTGAATTGGAGGACTCGGTCTTTATGGAGCCCTTGGGCTTTCTTCGGAAGGAGTGGCCAGCATGGGTTGTGGACAGACTCCATCGGCGGACAGAAGTAGCTCCGGTTCTCCAGGTGAACGCGGAGCCAAAGCGATAGAGGCTTGAGCCATTGGCTATAGCACTTGGAATCTGCTTGCTCTTGCTGGCACCTAGCAGCTATGGCAGCTACCAGGTCGACCAAGTCCGGCCTACGAAACCCTTCGTTTCAGGTCAGGACCCGTCCGGTTCAGGCCTGCAGGCGACCCTTCCAATGTCCTGGCGTGCGACCGCCACACACATGTCTCGTTTCTTTGCTGAGAACTCGACTTGGGACAACAACCGATCCGTGGATGGTCCTTTGGAAAGTCCCGAAACTTCGAAGATCAAAGAAAGACTGTATGATATGTAATTGTGACAGTATATATATATATATTAATCTTGTCTCTCTATCTATATATATATATAAGTAGGTCAGTAGGTCAATCCATCGTTCAGATGTCGGGATGAACCGAAACCCAGTGAATTCGGCGCCCGGTTCAACCTCTCCTGGACGGTGTCGCAGGGGCCCGCCGGCCAACTGGAAACCACCTGCAGTTGAGACCAGGGAGCCTAGTTTTTCCAGATGTCAAACCAACAAAACGACAAAAAAGAACAAGCATGAGTCAGGGTCCTGGTCGCTTAAATCGCTCACGGAGAAAAAAAAAAGAAAACTTTCACCTGGCCAAAATCCAGCCAATCTATACCCGGTCTGATCCCCTTCCCTCGCAAGTCTTCTGGAAGCAAAGCCAGCCAAAATCAAGCCATTGACCCGGTGAATTCAGAGCCCAAACCTTTAGCAGCTCCCAGTGAACTGGGGCGTGGTCCCAGTGAACTCGTGAAAGCGCGGTGGGTGACAGGGTGACGTTGCCAGACGGTCGGTGCCGTGTCACCACCCAAGAAGCCCGACCAACTCCACGAAGCCTTGAAACCTGTCCTGTCGGAACATCTGGGTGACACGTGAACAACACCCTTCCAAGCACAAAACAAAGGAAGCCAATGAAACGGAATCGAACAGTGCATTCAAAACTAGCCGTGTGAGCCTGAGCCCTGCGCCTATGAAGCCTTTTAGGCCTACCAGCAGAGGTTGAAGAACCCTATAGGCCTATAGGCTATCCTACAGGTACCCCAGTAGGGTCCTATAAGGTCACTTAACCTCTGTTGGTAGTTCCTTTGCCGGAGCGCACCAGTGGTTTCTTGCGGGACCAGGGATGGCCAAGGCACTGGAGGCACTGGAGTCTTGGGACTTCACTTCACTCTGGATTCTGGATGGTGGATTCAATGACCAAAAGCGGGCACTGGGCATCCTCCACCTCCATGAACCTCGTACCCTCAATCGGCACAAGTTCGGTAACCTGCGCTTGCTTCGTTCGGCCAAGCCACAGCAAAGGGCCAGACCAGCTTCGTCTTCGTGCCCTCGCGACGTTTCTCAGGTCAAAACTCGCAGGAGAATTCTCCCATTTTGATGAGAGTGGTGTCAAACGTCAAGTCGAGCGAATCAGGTCCCTACTTTCCTGCCGTTCTGGGTGAAACGAAGCTGAAACCACCTGTTGATGCACCGAATGTATTTTGTTCTTTTTCCTCCCAAGGCTTTCAAAAGTAGACCCGAGACCGAAAGTGGCCACGTGTTGAGAGACAGACTCAACTCATTGGAGACTCAAACTCCGCGATGGAGGTGGAAGGTTCGATGGAACAAACAGGATCCCCCAACAGGTCCAAATAGTTGAGGGTCGTTGTCTCTATAAATAGATTCAAACAGCTCCAAATATCCAGAGTCTTCCTTGACCCTACCCCTGCGTGCCTTCTCCGAACGTGGGCACATACACCATGATCTGCTGTAGCCGCGCACGCACCGTCCACGCCACCTGCACTCCTCCGCTGCTGTCGCCCCCATGGCGCGTCGACGCCGGAGCCGCACGCGCGGCAATGGCGTTCTTCATGGTGCACCCGCAAAGGAGGACGTCGCCTCAGCTGGGAGGGCGTCGCTCGAGAAGCACCCAAACTGTTCACCTCACCATGGAGGCCATTGCTATTAGGTTGGAGGCCATCGCTTCCAGAAGATCCGTCCCGGGTCGTGTGTCAACAAAGACACCCCCCGAAGGAGGATGACCTGGAAGCCACACCGAGTCAATGACATCGGAACGAGACTGGCGGGAGAAGCGAGATCGGCGCTTAGGCCGCTTGTTGCACGGAATTCAGGAACATAGAGAGTTTGCGGGTTTTCATGGACATGTCAAACGACCGGTGTGTTCACCGGTCTGCTAGGTGCCTCATCTCAAGTCTTAGCTTGAAAGACCTGACATCATCTCCCAGATGTGAAAGAAAACGCGATCGGTTGGTGGAACCCGATCGGAGGACCGATGATCGACCGAATGCCTCTGATCGCGGCACCTCATGCCTCTGATGCGCACTCCCGGACACCCCCGATCCACAAAAGGACCCTTAATTGTTTTTTCGCTGCTAGAAAAATAGACACCTGTGATAGGAGTTCCTGCAGCAAGGAACCTATTCCAACCCTATCTGCCATGGCACTGAAGAGCTGCCAATAAGCGATGATGTCCAACTTGGCGAGTGCCAGAGAGACATCACCTCCTGTGAAACTGTTTGGGTTTCGGGGGTTTGGCGTCGTGTTTTCTGCAATGTGCGTGGGTGATGTCCGAGGGTCCAGCATGTCACATGGTGTTCTGCGACGGGAACCGGGGCTTTTGGCATCGGTAGGGAGGCTTTGGCGAAAATGAAGGAAGGATAAAGGGAACAAAGGCGCGGTCACCAAGACTACTAGTACCACTTCTGCCACAACTGCAAATTGCTACTACTAACTACTACT